CCATATATTCTTGGGATGCATTTTCTTTATTTACTTTGCACGTCAATTTTAAAATTGAAGATTTATTCACTACTCTCATGATCCCATCTAAGCTAATTCAATAATTATATTTCTTTTAAAGTTAATAACATTAATCTCATAAGGTTTGATTATATAATAAACTTTTGTTGAGATTTATAAAATTAAAACATTCTTTTATACTAAAGTTTATATTTTAAAATATAATTTAATAAATATTTATTAATTCATAATAATTTAAATTCTAACCATTTATATTTAATTAATGGTTGATAATACAATTTTTGTGATTAATTTTTTTTTGTTAATACAAGGTCTTTCTCTCGTTGTAAGTCCTCCTCTCCTTCTCCTTTTGGTTTGTCCGAACAATGTCTTGTCAAATTCTCTGGCCTCATAGCTCACTCCAGCTGGAAAGCAGTCAGCTAGCCTAAAAGAACCATACTATACTTACTCACCATCTTACTAATCATCTTACTATTCTTTGTAAATATAACGCATAGTACTGGTACTATACGCATAGTACGGGTACCATGTAAAATTTTAACAAAGGTTGTATGGCAGTTAGTACAAGTGGTGAGTAAGCATAGTGTTTTTCAGCCTAAAATGCCTTCACGTGGTGGGTCGCCATCGTCATCAATTATTCACTTACAATCAATTGATTGATGTTCACTGTATTTCTGATTTCTTCTACCATCCATCTCTTCAACTTCAGTTTTCTTCTCCCTCAATCTTTTAGAAACCACTCAAAAATACTTCTCACTCAGAAACTTCTCTACTCACCCCTTCAGATACCCACCAAAAATACTTTTACTTTCAGAATAATACTTTGGGTACTAATGGATGAGTACTAATATGTGTACTAACTAAATCATAGTACCCGTACTATGCGCATAGTACGGGTACTATGCTTTAGTTAGTACACATATTAGTACTCATCCATTAGTACCCATAGCATCACTCTTACTGTCAAACCAGACCGCTTTTGAATATAAATATTATAAGTTCTAATAATTTGATATAAAAAACTATAATTAGATAATGTAGCTGGTGGTATTACTGAAATTAATAACTGTAGAATTTTAAGCATGTGTCCTGTAAGTCTATGCATTTGATGATTATTTGATTGTTTACTTGACTGCACTATAAATGGTACGAATGAACGTAAAAACTTGTGTGCGTGTGTGTGATGAAAGGGAGAACGACTTATACATACCCAAGATTTATCGTAACGACAAGTTGGTACCCAAAAGGTTTTGAAATGACAAATAGGTACTTTCCGTCATGTTCTGTTAGTGATTTCTGTTTATTACTGTTTATTAATAGTGAAAAGACTAAAATACCCTTAAAAGTTTGAATTTTAGTTTTTTATAAATTTAAAAATTTCAAAAAACCCCCTAAGTTTACAAATTTCACTAAATACCCCAATATATAAAAGTTTTATAAAATAACAAAAACACCCCCCACCGGCAAGTGCCAGATTCCGGCCACCACCGCCGGAATCTGGCCGGAAAGTTGCGTTACGACACAGACCCGTCGGATCTGTGTCGTAACGCGCCGATCTGGCCTTTTCCGGCCAGATCCGTGGCTGATCTGGCCGGAAAAGGCCAGATCTACGGCTAGATCTGGCCGTCGACGCCGCAAAACTCCATCTGCGGCGTCGACGGCCAGATCTGGCAGTAGATCTGGCCTTTTCCGGCCAGATCAGCCACGGATCTGGCCGGAAAAGGCCAGATCTGGCTGCTGCTTCGACGGCCAGATCTGGCCTTTTCCGGCCAGATCCGTGGCGGATCTGGCCTGAAAAGGCCACATCGACACTTTACGACACAGATCCGATGGGGATCTGTGTCGTAATGCAGTTTTCCGGCCAGATTCCGGCGATGGTGGCCGGAATCTGGCATTGGGGTGGTGGGGGTGTTTTTGTCATTTAATAAACTTTTTATATATGGGGGTGTTTAATTAAATTAGCAAACCTAGGGGGTTTTTTAGAAATTTTTAAATTTATAAAAAACAAAAATTGAAACTTGGAAGGGCATTTTAGTATTTTCACTATTAATAAACAAAACTCACTAACAGAATATGACGGAAGGTACCTATTTGTCGTTTCAAAACCTTTTGGGTATCAACTTGTCATTACAGTAAACTTTGGGTATGTACATGTCGTTCGCCCGTGATGAAAATTAAAACTTATAAAAGTTTAGCTATGGCTAGGGCACTTAAAAAAGCTATTGGTAACTTTAATCTTCTCTTTTCACCACAAAGAATAATAAAATAATTAATTTTGAAGCACAAGATCGATATTCAAAGTCAGCAGCCCAAATAGTGGAACTTAAAAATAAAAGTTGATGGAAAATGAATAAGAAAATGCTTTTACAGAGACGTCCAGGAAACACGTTCTGCTCGATTGAACTTTGAAATAATCTTTACTTGGAAACTATATATGCTGAATTGATTTCTACAAATGGTGTCTGTTTGAGCATTATTTTCTCCAAATTCATTCATTGGGCCAAATTTTTCAAGAGGAAGAGATAGGGCATGGTCTCCATCATCAGAATTATTACCTATTTCTCTTATAGTTTTGAAACGTAGGGCACCATCACCATGTTTAAAAGCTAATTTTATGTGAAAATCTAATAATAGGAGTTGCTTAAATGACAATTCTTCTCCCTCAAGTATAAAATCCGCCTATCTGATCGTGTCATTTTCAGCATTTTATCAAGTCATTTCCAATTCTACAAAAGTGTCATTCACCACCTTATTGATATCTTGAATTACATTACCAATGATCAAGTTTTTTCTGTAATCTTTAAGCATTTTTAGATGTCACCTTCATATACTCCATTAAAAAAACCTCAAAACAATTCAAAATTTTATCATTCATAAGACAAAGCGGATCACCAAGATATCACAGTAGAGTCAATATGAAACTCTTGAAATGCAGTACGATATGTCAAAATATAATAATCTATATTTCAAAATCCATATCTAAACTAATATGATAACAAAACAAAACAAAAAACTACCATTGCTTTAACAGAACAAAAATGAGGAGAATATAAAATATGAACAATATTAAAGCATTTTGAATTGATCTTAATAAATTAGAGCAATACTATATATATAATATTTTTATATAACATTATGTGGCAAAATATAATTGATTGATTTTAAATTAAAATTAAATTTTCATCTAATTATTTTTTGCCCCATAATGTTTCATGAAAAATGTTGGATGAATGTGTTGTATACGTAGTATTATTTAAAAATTTTATTAGGTTTCTTAATCCTTGTAACAGTTGAAGTCAAATATTATAAAATGAATAATGATGTGCTTACTCATCATTTTACTAACCATCTTATTATCCTTTGTAAATATAACGCATAGTACGGGTACCATATGCATAGTATGGGTACCATACGCATAGTACGGATACTATATATAATTTTAACAAAGGTAGTAAGACGGTTAGTAAAAATCGTGAATAAGCATAGTATTTCTGTAAATTTTATTTTCTTTTGAACTAGGTGTCTCGATAATGACAATTTTACTTTTATCAAACTTTTTCTTACTTTATTAGTATAAATCTGTTCACACAGTAAGTTTCCATTGTCAATCAATTATTTTCAATAATCAAAACATCAAGTCCCGTAAACAGTAACTAAAGAGATATGCGTGGAGAATAATGATACAGATAGAACAATTATATAAGATTTCCTTTTTCACAAACCATGAAACAAGTTTTGGACAATTTTATAAGAAAATGATTTTTTAATCCACTAAATGCGTTCGATTATTAAAAATAATCATGCTAGAGCCATTGAACACATTATTAAAATAAAGCCCAAATTGATGTTTTCAGGAATTAACATCATACTAATCAACTTTGAGTGGTTAAACAAAAATTTTTGAATGTATTACTTAAAAGGTCAAAATATATCTGATCCCTTTCCATTCATGTCCACTTAAATTTGAGACCATTATATATATTCATTTCATTTATTTGATAGAAAAATAATTAAAAATCATGGAAAAGTCTCTTTTTCTTTTTTTCTTAAAGTACATGACACTGTGATTATACTTATTATTTTCAGAACAAATCCAAGGTTGGTTACTGCATCAACAATTTGATGATATTCCTGGGATGCATTTTTTTATCTCCTTTGCACATAAATTTCAAAATTGAAGATTTATTCAGTACTCCCAGTCTAAGCTAATTCAATATTTATATTTCTTTTACAGTTAATAACATTAATCTCATAAAGTTTCATTAAATAATAAACTTTTTTTTGAGATTTATAAAATAAAAAAATTTCTTTTATATTAGATTTTATATATTTAAAATATAATTTAATAAATATTTATTAATTTATAATAATTTAAATTCTAACCATTTATTTTTAATTAATGGTTGATAATAAACTTTTCCTGACTAAAAGTCACTCCAGCTGAAAAGCAGTCAGCCAGCCTAAAATGCCTTCACGTGGTGGGTCTCCATCGTCATCAATTATTGACAGTAAAGTTAAGATCAATTGATTGATGTTCACTGTATTTCTGATTTCTCCTACCATCCATCTCTTCAACTTCAGTTTTCTTCTCTCTTAATCTTTTAGAAACCGCTCAAAAATACTCCTCACTCAGAAACTTCTCTCACTCACGGACTCACCCCTTCAGATTCCCACCAAAAATACTTTTACTCTCAAACCAGATCGCTTTTTCATAAATCACGAAAACATATTCTCTCTCACTCTCAGTCTTTCATAAATCACGAAAACATATTCTCACTCAGAAACCTCTCTCCCCACTTCAGGTGCCACTACAAAAGTTTTTTTTTTTTTTCACTTCTCTCTTGTTCCTTTACTTCTCTTTTAAAGAAAAAAATCCCTTTTTCTTATTACTTCTTAAAAAAAAAAAAAAAAAAAATTTTGTATCAGTATTTGAGTTTCCATTCGCTTATATCTTGTTTAAAAAAAAAAAAAATTCATCTCTTATTTCTTTTTATCCAAAATTCCTCTTGTATTTTTCAAATTTGAAAGTTTGCGCCCTAGTTGTCCTGTTTTTAACTCTGTTTTACTTTCTTTCTCTTATTTTTTTCAATCTTAAAAAAAAATACAAGTGAAGGAGAAAGTAGAAAGTTTTGAAAATGGTCGAAATCGCGAGTTTTGTTCTCGATGTTGTCAAGTGCTTGGCTGCTCCGATTGGGCGTCCACTTATGTACCTGTACAACTACAAGAAGAACATTGACAATCTCCAAGATGAAGTTAAGAACCTGAAGAATACAAGAGACGAAGTGCAGGTTAAGGTTGAGGTTGCTGAACTGAACGGGGAAGAGATCAAACAGAGAGTTAAGGAGTGGCAGACTAAGGTGAACAATACCATTACGGAAGCAGAGAGGTTGATTGAAGAGAAAGAAGAAAACGCTCGATGTTTCAAGGGATTGCGCCCCAACTGTATCAACCGCTACAAACATAGCAAGAAGGCATTCAAATTAAAGCGGGATAATATTGGTCCACTCCTGCTGCAAGAGGAAAGATTCGGTGAAGTTTTCGATTGGTGTATACAACAATCCAAGTACGAGAAGAACTTTGTCAAATTCCTAGATGATGTTTTGAAGCTGAAGAATGCAAGACGCAAAGTGCAGCATAAGGTTGAGGAGGCTAAAATCAATGGGGAAGAGATTGAAGAGGATGTGAAGAAGTGGCTAGAGGATGTTGACTCTGTCATTGTTAAAGCAGAGGAGTTGATTGAAAACCAAAGTTCGATTGGCACTGACTGGCAGACGCGCTACCAAAATAGCAAGGCAGCATCCGAATTAATGGTGGATGATATTGGTCCACTCCTGCAGCAAGAAGAGAAATTCGACAGAGTTTCCTATCCTACTATTCCACTAGAGAAGAACTTTGACAAGCTCCGAGATGATGTTTCGAAGCTGAAGAATGCAAGACTCAAAGTGCAGCGTAAGGTTGAGGTGGCTGAAAAAAATGTGGAAGAGATTGAAGAGGATGTGAAGAAGTGGCTAGAGGAAGTTGACTCTATCATTATTAAAGCAGGGGAGTTGATTGAAAACCAAAGTTCAATTGGCACTGACTGGCAGACGCGGTACCAATATAGCAAGGCAGCATCCGAATTAATGGTGGATGATATTGGTCCACTCCTGCAGCAAGAAGAAAGATTCGAAAAAGTTTCCCATCCTACTATTCACAAGGAGATATGGCTTAGATCTGATGAAGATTATTTGGTTTTCGAATCAAGAAACTCCACTGAGAAGAATGTATGGGAGGCATTAAAAGATGAGAATATCTACATGATCGGTGTTTATGGGATGGGTGGTCTGGGCAAGACCACTCTTGTGCAGGAAATTGGTAGGAATGCTGAGAATAATAAGCTCTTTAATGAGATTGTTTTTGTTGAGGTAATGTTTAAAACAAGGGGTTTCACTTTTAATTAGCATATTTATTTTGAGTGATAATTATTAGTATTTAAATTTATATCAGTAATTTTATTTGAGTGAAATTAATTAGATTTTACTCTTCTATATAAGGATGTTTATAATTTACGAGAAAAAAGTATTCAACCGAATATTTTTTTCTTCGTTGTTTATGAAGAAATCCTTGTTTTTGTTATTTTATTTATAATTTTATATATCTTAATTCAGTTTATCTCTTAAGGTTTACTTTGTTGTTAGATTATTTTTTTAATAGATGAATATATATTTTTTTAAAGGCATAGTTATTCATTTAAGATTTTTTTTTCTTATTATATTTTGTGGTTCTTTGTCTTGCAGGTAACAGAAACTCCTGATACAACAAAGATTCAAACAGCAATTGCAAAGAAGCTAGGTCTTAGATTCGAAGATGAAAAGGAAGATGAGAGTGAAAGGGCAAGTAAGTTATATTCTAGAATGATGGAGAAGAATATTCTTTTGATTTTAGATAATATTTGGAAAGAGTTAGAGTTGAAGACAGTTGGAATTCCTTTCGGAGCTGATCGAGGAAGAAGTAAAATATTGATGACAACAAGAAATGTAGATGTGTTGGAGAAGATGGGTTCCACAAATAATTTCGGGATGTGCATTTTAAATGAAAAAGAAGCTTGGAGGCTATTCAAGAAAATGGCAGGTAATTGTTATAACTTATTATAATTTGATAACACATAAAATTTGTGGTATGGTTTGATGTGAATAAATAAAAAGTTAAAAGCAGTAATAACATGGAATATTTTCAAAATCTATATAATTACTCCATTGATAGAATAGTAGTGCCGGCTTAGGGGCAAAATTAACTGATCTCCGTAACATCACATTAAGAACAAGAAATCTAATTTAATTTTTTTTTTTTTTAAATTCCTTTGACATAAGTTTTATATATTCTCTAATTAAATATTCTGAAAATTAAATGTCTATGTTTAATTTCTATGGTTATCATACAAATCACCTACACTCTTTGGGTAGGGATTTGGTTGCGTAGAGGTTGGAGCTGATGGGGGGTTTGTAACTCATTTATATTTTAATCTGTTTTTTTTTTTTTTTTTTTTTTAAATATAATAAGTAATAACCATATTTTTTTTCTTTTTATTCAAATTCTTTAATCTGATTTTTTTTAAACTAATTTTATAACAGTAATTTTTTTCTTTTAAATTCGTAACCTATTATTATTTTTTTCTCTCTTTTTATTCATTTTTTTGATCTGATTCGTAACCACCACCGCACCTCCAAATTATTGCCATCTCCTCCATTGCATCCATGCTAGAGCTATCGCCATTGCATCCATAACACAACCATCGCCATTGTACCCACACCACAGCCTACCCTTTAGACCACCACCACAACAACCACAGCAAATCAGATGACGACCATTGCCGCACCCATTGGCCTCCAGCGCACCACCACAACACGCAAAGTGCAGGACACTTCCATTACACCCACACCACATCATATCTCCATTGCACCCACACCACAACACACCCCCATTGCAGCCACACCACAGAAAACCACCCCTTAAACAACCACCACCACCACATCAGCCACAACAAAACCAGATCACCAATCAAATCAACTTCACAAGATCAACAACAACACCATCCAGGTTTAAAACAACCTCCCTAGCCCAAATTGATGAATAAAAAAACCACCCAAGGTGTCGCTGTTTGGGTTTGAAGGTGAGGCGGCCAGGAAGAAGAAAAGGGGATTTGTTGCCCCTTGCTTGAGTTTTCTCGAGGCAGAGTGACGAAATTTAAAGAACATGGGTTTAATGGGAATGGGGTGGGGGTGTGGCGGTAAGAAAGAGTGAATGGGTTAGGAATAAGATTTTTAGGGTTATTTATCTTAATTAATACATCGTGTAAATACTTCTCTGCCGTTCACTCTAGTTTTTCAGGGTTTTATAATGGCTGTCTATCAACAGGGAATAATTGTTATTTCTAAAAACTCAAAGGGCTTGAGTGTTAACAAAAATCTCAGGGAATAATAGATATGGACCTAAACATTATTTTCTGACTTAAATTTAAAGTATATTCATTAATATTTGAATTAGTTTAATTAGATGGCGTTAGTTAATTATTTTCAGCCTCAGTTCACAGTAATGAGAATTGACTTGGAACACTTGGAACTTTTCTTGTTTCTAAACCAAAAGCATATGAATAGTAAATGCAATTAGTATAATCATAGCTTCTTGTGCAGGCAATGTTATTCAAACACCTGAATTGAATTTTTTACCAAAGAAGGTATGCAAAGAATGTGGAGATTTGCCGATTGTCATTTGTACTATAGCAAAGGCATTGAGGAATAGAAGAAAAAAATCTCAATGGGAAGATGCTTTGCGAATACTAAGAATGCCTTCCCCGGCAAAGTTCACAAGACTTTTAGAAAAGGAGTATTTAAAGATTAAGTTGAGTTACGATTATTTAGAAGATGATGAGCTCAAGAAAACTTTCATAATTTGTAGTCTAATGGAAAACAATACCTCCATTTTAGACTTGCTCAAGAATATTGTTGGCTTGGGTATACTTGAAGGAGCTAATCTTACAATAGAACAAGCACGGAATAGACTAGATTCAGTGGTCAAGGAACTCAAAGACTCTTGCTTGTTACTTGATGGTGTAACCAAAGGAAGATTTTCTATGCATGACGTTGTTCGCGTTGTTGCTTTAACGTGTGCATATACAGTTCACCATGTATTCACAGAGAGAAATGACATTGAAAGGGAATGGAAGGATAAAGATAAACTTAGAAAATGCACAATTATGTCTTTAGTTGGTAATAATATTATTACTCAACTTTGGCCTGAAGCATTAGATTGTCCAAAACTAGAATTTCTTAGGGGTTCTTCTTTCAAAATCCCTAAGGAGTTTTTCATAGTGATGACAAAGCTAAAAGTTTTAAATTTATTTAGAACACAACAGTCGTTGTTGTCGTCACTTGATCTTCTGACAAACCTTCAAACATTGTGTTTACATGATAGCAAAATTGAAGATGTTGATATTATCGGAAATCTTAAGAAGCTAAAAGTCCTTAGCTTGCAAAATACTGATATTGAGGAATTGTCTACACAAATGGGTGAATTGACTGGGTTAAAGATTTTAGATTTGAGCAATTGTCGGCAATTAAAAGCTATTGCACCAAATGTGATATCAAAGCTATCCCAACTAGAAGAATTGTATATAAAGGGATGTAGTATTCAGTGGAAGGTTGAAGTACTCAAGGAGTTGAAGCACTTATCTCAATTGACCAGTTTAGAAATTTATATTCAAGATTATAAGATGATGCCTAAAGACTTCTTTTCTAGAGAGCTTAAAAGGTATGATATATCAATAGGAAATAAATGGTTCAACAATTCTAGTTGGTATAAGGAGTTTTCAAGAATGTTTGAACTTGAATATGATTCTACCATCTCTTTAGAAGAATTACGAATTCTCAAGAATGTTAAACTCTTACGGTTGGCCGAATTTTCAGATGATGATAACAATCTCGAGCCATTTTTTAATGAAAAGGTATGATTCACGTTAACCTCTTGCACTTCTCTATTATATATTCTTATCTTTTCTTATGCTTATTCTCATTTGTTAACACATAGTTTTGATATTGAATTATTTGTTCTTCTCTTTTTGCCTTTTTTTTCTAGTGATTTTAATTTTATGTTAAATTTCATTACTTTTAAAAGAGACAAAAGGCACATTGTTTATATCAATGCCATATTCATCTATAAATCCATAAGAATCAATTATTAGTTTTTTTTTTTTTTTTTTTTTTTTGAGTAACTGTAAATCAACAATTAACTTTGGCTGTAGGTTTTTTTCTCCAATTTGATGGCCTTGGAATGAACAATATTAGTTCTAGAAAGATTTGGGACAACCAACTTCCACACTTTTGTCTTCTCCCTATCAGAATTTGACACGCTTTATCTTGGAGAGTTGTGGAAAAATAAAATATGTGTTTCCATTTTCCATTGCCAAAAGCCTCCAAACTCTACAAAGCCTTGAGATAAGAGATTGTGAGGTTTTAGAGGAGATTGTTGCGGAAGAAAGGGCAAAAACTGTTGTTAATTTTGCCTTTCCACAAGTTACCAATTTGAGGCTTAAGAATTTACCAAAGCTTACAGCTTTCTATCCTGGAATACATACTTGTGAATTGCCGATGTTAAAAAGGTTGGTGATCCAAGAATGTGAAAAATTCACTTCAAAATGTCTAAGCTTCCAAGAACATTCATTTCATATTTCAGAGCCAAAATCCATCTACTTGGAACATAAGGTACGTGTCTCTTGTTTACATAAATTAGAACTGAATAATGTGATTTTCAACATCTTTTTTTTTTTTTGGGACAAAAATTTGGAAAAGAAATAAAAATTAATGGTCAGTTGGATTTGGATGATTTTCTTACTGGAGTTTTGTCAAATAAACTCATTAGAGCACTATGTTTAAATCATCCAATATAATTCTAGAAATTATCAAATGTTTACTAGAAATTATCAATATGATTTTATTTTAGGATATTATCAATTGGAAGACAATCTTTTGTTATTAATATTTTAAGTTTATATTGGAGAAGATATTATCAACTGGTACTTCCCCAAAACCAAAGTCATTCTACTCACAATTTGCAGCTGCCAAATCCCTCCTCTCACAACATGGCTGGCTTGCAAGTGGTGCGGGGCTAGCCAGGCCCTTATTTAATTTACTTTTTTTTTTTTTTTTAAATTATTATAAAAATAATAAATCTTTTAATTATTATCAGTTTATATAAATTTACTTTCCAACTAAAAATATTTTAAAGTTGTATAAAATTATACCCTTACAAAATGTTAAATCTAACTATCTCTAATAACATTTTATCCCTTCTTAAAACTATTTTGGAGCTTGTCTTCTTTTTCTTATAGTTTCCTAAAACATTATCCCTCTCACTGTGATCCTTCTTATGATTGGAAACCAGATCACAAATTCAAAATTATTTAACAAGATGAGCAAAAAATTAGTTCAAAGAGGAAAAAATTACGTTAGTTACCATTAAATTTAAGAGAGAGATAATGTAAAATAGTCCAGCCAACATAAGAGAAGAAGCAAATCATATGTAAAAGAGAGAAAATTACGTTAGTTCTCAAGCCCAAAATCTAAAAGAATCCAACCAACACAAGAGAAGGAGCAAATCTTTAAAATGATATAATGTCAAAGAGATTCACGAAAACCATAGGGTGACTGTGACTGTACATTATCAAATTAATTAACTTTTTAAGTTTTTCCTTCAAAAGGAGATTTAACACTTTTTCATATTCTTCTCTCTCACCAATCATCTAATTTGTTACTGTTTGAAGATCCAAAAATCTTCATTTATAATGAAAGCAGATTTTTTCATTATTTGAATAATGATTAAAAAGCTAATTAGATTTTTGTTTCAATGGATTTGTAGATCAACTCTAATTTGGAGGATTTGCATTTAAAGGATAAGTTGAGACAAATTAGATGGCAGAGTCGATTTAAAAATCTAGAGATTGCATATGATAAGTCAGCAAATATTCCACTTGGGCTTCTTCAGAGATTTGGAAATTTGGAATCTCTTCAACTAGCTTGGTGTAGATATGAAGAAATGTTCTCATTTGGAAAGAATGAGAAACATATGCAGATCACTCTAGGACCATTCTTAGCTTCTTTCCAGAATCTTAAAGTTCTGAATGTAATTCGGTGCAGAGAGTTGACGAAGTTAATGACACCTTCAACGGCTAGGAGCTTGGTGCAGTTGAGAGAATTGAGCGTAGAAGGATGTGAAATGGTGATAGAAATAGTAGAAAATGAGGGAGATGCAACAACAAGTACTGAAATTGTTTTTGAAAATTTGAAGAAGTTGTTATTTAGAAGGTTAGAAACTCTCATATGTTTTTGTTCTGGGAATTACTCTTTTAATTACCCATCTTTGGAAGAGTTAATTATAGGAAAATGCCCCAATATGAAGACTTTCTCTCAAGGAATCTTAAGCACACCAAAGTTACACAAAGTCAATTATGAGAGCTTCGATAAGACTAACAACAAGTGGGAGAAAATAAAGGAGGTAGAGAATGAGGGGAATGATCTTAATAAAAGCGTACAAGGAGCATACAAGAAACAGGTATGTTTAAAAGTAATAAGTTTAAATATTTACTTATTTTTGCATTTTTTATATATTTTAATAATATTATATTTTACTACAAGATTGCAAGTAATAGTAGGATGAAGCAAGTTTTGTTAGTTTATCCGTACAAGTGCATAACACTAAGAAGACAATTTTAGGTATTGACCTTAGTTGAATAAATGGTTGTAGGTTAGGGGATGACATTATTATATTATTATTTGTTTAGTTTGGGCTAGGCCTTTCAGAAATTATTAAGAGTAGCAAAAAGACACATTTTTTTGATCCATTAGAAACAATAATTATTATTTTTAATTACTTTATATTTAATCAACTATTAACTTTTATTGCAGGACATTTCCCTTGATTCGAAGTATAAGGCATTCAAAGATGTCAATTCTACAGAGATTTGGTACAACCAACATCCAAATTTCTTTTATCAAAATTTGACACACTTGTTCTTGTGGAATTGTAGAAACATAAAATATGCATTTCCGTCTTCCATAGCCAAAAGCCTTCACCAACTCCAACAACTAAAGATTAGAAATTGTAAAGTTTTAGAGGAGATTATTGCAAAAGAGGAGGAAGCAAATGCAGTTATCAATTTTGTCTTTCCGAATGTAGTCTTATTGAAGCTTCAAAATCTACCAAAACTTACAGCTATCAGTCATGGAATACATACTTCTAAATGGCCAATGTTAAAAGAGTTGGTGGTGATAAAGTGTGATAAATTCACTTCAAAACATATGAGCTTCCAAGAAAATGGTGAGGAGGGTGAACTTCATATTTCCGAGCCAAAATCTCTCTTCTTGGATGATAAGGTACGAATGTTTATTTCATTCTTTATTGAAAAAGAAAATTAACTTACTTCATATATATTACATTTATTTCAAAAACTTTAATTATGGAATTATTAACATCTCTATTTTTCCTTGGAAAGAAAATTTAGAAAAATTAATGGTTATTTAATTTGAACAATTTTGCTTTAGGACCTTATCATTTAAAGTCATTTACGTCCTAGATTTAAAAAAAATAAAAATAAATCATCCAATATAATTATAGAAATCAACAGTGAAATTTTATTTTTACTAGAAATTGTTTATCAGGTGATTCATTTTATTATTGAAGAAATTATTTACAAAAAGTTTGCAAGTTGAAAGCCTCCTAAACAGGATCATAAATTCAAAATTATTTTAAAATGATTTGGTGGTGGCCAAGACTAATAAATCAATTAAATTTTGAATCAAATTATATTAGGGTAACTATCAATGAATTATGTACCGATTTCTTTTCAATTATCACATCTATTTGATAATGTTATAGGCCACATTTTTTAATTAATTGCATTAAAGGCTTTAATAAATAAATAAGTAAATGTCCAAAGTCCAACTTATAGTCAAGGAGGATAAAATTGACATTTCATACCAAAAGGTAAGATTAAACAAGAATATTTCTAAAATAGAAGATAAAATTAAAAAATATAAAGAAAAAAATATTGGCAAATTCTGAAATTATATTTTTAAAGTTGTAACCATTAAATACTAAATTTGAAAACTGAAATAATAGAAATTTGGAAAAAAAAAAAAATACTTTTTAAGAAATTCATATTTATTTAATTTCTATAACTGTTTTAAAAAATAAAATAACATTATAAATTATTCTTAAAATAATTAAGAAAAGAATAATACTACACAAACATTATTCTCATACAACATTTCTCATACAATATTATATGACAAGATATGATTGGGTGAAAATTAAATTTTAACTTTAAATTAGCCAATCATATCTTGTTATATAATATTGTACGAGAAATGTTGTATAAAAATGATATATGAGTAGTATTACTATTAGGAAAATGTAAAAAAAAAAAAAAAAAATTGAAAATGGTTGTAGTGGTGCCTACAACCGTTAGATCGCAGTTTGCAATATGGGGTTGAAGTCATAGCCATCAATCATGTCTACAATCTAAGGTTGCGTCACAGTCATGCGATTTGTGGCTATGATTTGCATCTGTAGCCGTTTCCATTAGATTGTAGCTTAAATTCAAATAACTTAATAGACAATAGGAGGAGATGTATACTGTAGTTTTCCAAGTTAGTGGCGGCTGAGTAGCTTTTTGGTTTCAAAGGGTGTAATTGGTTAAATCACATAAATGAAACATTTGCTCACAAATTTGATTCATGGTAGCCCTTTGAAGAATAATCTAAATTCATTTGAAAAGCATGTTTCTATTTTCTATTTTCCAAAATAATGTAAACAAAAAAAAAAAAAAAAACAAAAAAAAGTATGTTGAATCTGTAGTTTACAAAAATAGTTTTTGAGTGCAATTTTTAATATTGATTTTAAATTTTAAATATTAATAAAATATAATTTACTAGTTTTAAAATAGATTGTAGTTGATTTGTCAAAATTTGATTGGGTTTGGCCTATGACTTTTGAACCAATAACTAAACTTTTGTTTTAAGTATATAATTAAGAAGCTAATTGGATTTTGTTTTTGATGAATCTTGTAGATCAATCATGATTTGGATGTATTTGAATTAAAGAATGACGTGAAAGAGATTATCTGGTGGAGTCAATCTAAAGCTCTTGAGATCAGCTATGATGACTCAATAGATTTTCCACTTGGACTCCTTGAAAGATTTGAAAATCTGAAAGAGCTCAAACTATTTTTTTGTTTTCAATATAAAGAGCTATTCTTTCCAAGTCTTCCAAATCTTGAAGTTCTAGATTTATTGGGTTGTAGAGATTTGATGAGTCTAGTGCCATCTTCAGCTTCTCTCCAGAATCTTGAAGTTATGAGAGTTGGCCATTGCAACGGCTTTATGATGAAGTTAATAACACCTTCAATGGTTAGAAACTTGGTGCAATTGAGAGAAATGAGCATAAAGAATTGTGAAATATTGATTGAAATACTAGAAAATGAGGGAGAAGGAGATGCAACAACGAGTACTGAAATTGTTTTTGATAATTTGAAAAAGTTGTCACTTGAAAACTTAGAAAGTCTCACATGTTTTTGCTCTGGGAATTACTCTTTCAATTTCCCATCTTTGGAAGAGTTAATTATACAGAATTGCCCCAATATGAAGACTTTCTCTCAAGGAATCACAAGCACACCAAAGTTACTCAAAGTTAATTATGTGAGATGGAGTGAGACTATAATGGTGGGGAATCGGGGGAATGACCTAAATACAACTATACAACAAGCACACAAAAAAGAGGTATATATATTCAATTAATTAGTTTAAATATTTCTTTTATAATAATATTATGTTTTTAGCGTTAATTATAATAAACTGTTTTTTTTTAAGTTAGTTTGTGTATAAGTATTGTAATGCAAATTTTGCATTAGAATAAGATACACATATTTCCTTCCAGCATTGGAAGCTTTAATATAGTGTTATGCAAAACTAGGCTTATCCTAGCATAAGGCTCATCAAAAAGTCAATTTGTTCCAGTGGCTGGGCTAATTCTGCGTGTCATGTTCTTGTTTTAACTATCATATTTTACAAATCAACATTAATTAGAGGTATCAATTTCAGCCCTCAGGTTATTGGTGGCCCGATAAAGTGGAAAGATTGACATTAAGCGGAAGGGACATCATGTCAATTTGGGAAGGAGAATTTCAAGAGAGCTTTGGCAAAGTAAAAACTCTTCGATTGATTAATGATGCACATGCAAACATTCCAATTCAAATCCTTCACAAATTTAACAGTCTTGAATATCTCATATTGAAAATGAGTTCATATGAAGAGATATTCTCATTTGAAGAGGATGAGGAATACATTGGAATACTCACAAAATTAAAAAATTTAGAATTGTTTAGACTTTTAGATTTAAAGTGCTTTTGGAAACAAGACTATCGATTGAACTCAATTCTTCAAAATCTTGTTTATCTGAGGGTGGAATCTTGTCACAAATTGTCTACTCTATTGCCATCCTTAACATCTTTTGAAAATCTAACGACTTTGATAGTATGGTATTGCAATGGAATGCAAAACTTAATGTCATCATTAACAGCCAAAAGTTTGGTGCGACTAGAAAAATTGTCAATACAAAGCTGTGAAATGATGATAGAAGTATTTAGAAATGAAGGAGATATAGAGAAAGGTGAAATTGTTTTTGAGAAATTGAAGGAGTTGATATTGAGTAATTTAGAAAGTCTCACATGCTTCTATTGCTCCGGGGATTACACCTTAAAATTCCCAAATTTGGAAGAATTATATGTGAGTGAATGCTCCAAGATGAAGACTTTTTCTGGAGGAGGCTTAAGCATGCCAAGATTAAAGATGTTGAACTATATAGATTGTTCGGAGAATGACATTGATATAATCATACAACAAATACAAAACGGTAAGTATTCATTTGCTTAAAAATACACTTTTTCCTTATACTTCTTCATTCTTTTTTATTGAATTAATACTAGTCAATCCTCAATGGTCTTTATTATTGATTTTGTCTTTAATTAAATTCTTCTAAGTGAATCAATTATAGACTATCAAGTATATATAGAGAAGCTACAATATTATAATTTATGTTTCCTTAAAGTTAATTGATACGTGTTTTTGAAGTAGTTGTTGAGGAAATTCCTCATTTTCTTGTTTAATTGAAAAATTATGATCAATTTAGAATCAGAAAATAACATTTTCTACAGTTTTTGCTTTTACTATTAACATGTTGTCTTTATGATTACAGATGGTTCAGAGTTCGTTGAAAGATTTTCAAGACAAGAAGATGACGACGATGATGATTAGTTAGATAAGACATTATAATGGTCATCAACACACAACAGAGCACAACAAAGTCACCTGGTAAGTAGGTGGTGTTAGATGAATTGACATTTCTTTTTAAACACAATTATAGTATAAGTTGCCTTGGAAATTCAATTGATTACATAGATTTGGGGGCATATATTTTAAGAAATTATAAGGTTAAATATGATATTAATTAAACATTTAAGGGATTGTTCAGAGTTTTGTAAAAGATTCGCAAGAGAAGATTAAGAGTTTTACTTGGTTCATCAACTTACAGTAAAGTCACGTGGTAAGTGTGTGGCATTAGATGCGTTGGCATTACTTTTTAAATATAATTCAAACGCATATATACGCATTTCTCTTTCATATATACCATTAATATTTATTAATTTATTTAATTCTAAAGTTAGTGTAAAACAAATAAACTAAAATATCCGCCTACGAAGGCCTTATTTGGGGGCGGCAAAGCGGTCTTGGCTACTCAAAGTCCGGCCGAATCTTCGCTTGAGCTGCGCGGTTTGGTCGGGTCTTCGCCTCAGCCGTGAGGCATGGCCACACATTTTCAAGCCAAATCTTGACCTCAGATGATGTCACCACCTCCCATAACCTGGTATTATGCTGAAAATTTTTCCTTTGGGCACATGAAATGATCAGGCTAATCCTTCAATGACCTTTCCTATACTGGTTTATTCTTGGTATTTTAATATGAAGACGATGAATGTTCATGGAGCCTTTTGTAAGATTTTGTTTACTCTGCAGCCTTACGAATTGTTTACCCAAAGCAATTTTTTAGCTCTATGGTTTGAAGAGTATATTTAAAAGTTAATGGTATTGCCATTCATTAAGAGGGAAGTAGTTATGTTTTCATATGTAGAGTTTTAACACATATGTGCCTAATAATGTTCCATTTTGTTTGCTTCAGTTATCAGGCAGGATCGAGCAAAGGCTTTTGAGATTCTTATCTAGGACCTTAAGGTTTTTTCACCCTTCAATGAACCACTTTTCAAGGAGATTACCCAGCTTCTTACTCTTGATAACTTTAGGTGACTACTCCACCATTCTGTTTAATTGGTATGGTGTGCCATGAAAAATTTTAGTTGATTTTTTCTGTTGGAACTTCGTGATCAGGCAAAATGGGCAGCTTTCCAAGTATGGAAACACAAAATTGGCTCGTAATATTATGCTTGTAGAACTTAAAAAGCTAATTGAAGCAAACCCCCTTTTCATGACAAGCTTACATTCCTAGCCTTCAAAAGTTCACAACTCAGGACATTAATAAACCAGAGGTTATTCTTGAATCTTTTCATATCATCAGTTGAATTTTTTGTGCCAGTGTGCTGCAGCGAGGTTTTTTGGTATAACAATACCTAGAGGATGCATTTTACAAATATTTATGTGTATTGGTATATTATATATTAGTTGATTTCTACTTTGGGTTTACGCTTTTGCTCTTATATTTGTAAGGTGATGAATATCATTTACACTTGCAGATGATATTAACTCCTCTTGATGAGACTTAATTTCTAGAGCTCACTTTTTTTTTTTTTTTTTTTTTTTTTTTAAAATTCAGTTTAAATTGGCAGCGTCAACTTTGCAAGAATCCTCGTCCAAACCCTGATATTAAAACACTCTTCACTGATCATTTTTGCAACCCTACAGCTAACAGAGCCCATCCTCCTCCTACAAACAGCCCCCTCGTGAGACCAATTCCTACAGCTGGTGCATTTCCGCCTATTGGTGCTCATGGTCTAAGTATTTTGCATCTATCTGCCATATAAAAACATTGGTGCATACTTAAATAATAATTGTAATGATTCTTACTGTGCAGCCATTTCAGAGTGTTGTTTCCCCGTCTCCTGGTGCTGTTGCTGGTTGGATGCCAAAAAATAGTCCTTCCTTACCTCACCTTACTAGTAAGGACGTTTGTAATTGTGTAGCTTGCATTGCTTTTTTCGCTCTTTAGGCTTAATATGTTTGGTTGAATTACTCTAATCTTTTATTTATTTACTTTTATTGGGATGTCTACAGCTGCATTCTTGAAACATCGAAGGATGCCGACAGGTATGACCGGGATGGATTATCAATCAGCTAATTCAGAGCATTTGATGAAGTGTATCCACACTGCCCAATCTGATGATGTGTGGATGAGTGAGATAATCTGTTGTTTTTTCAAGATTGATAGTTGCTATAAATTTCTAAATGGCCTTTATATCAACTGGGTGTAACAACTCTCTTGTTCCTTTCTTACCTCTTATTATCTTTTGGTCTTTCTAGGTGTCTGTTGCTGGTGTAGCACATACTCCCAATGTATATTCTCAAGATGACCTTACTAAAGCCCTTGTGCGAACCATAAATCAAGGATCTAATGTCATGAGCATGGACTTCCATCCACAGCAGCAAGCTATTCTTCCTGGTAAAAAATTAGAAAAAAACCACTGTTTAATGTCTGGTCACTGAAAAATTTATAAAACTTTTTCAAGAGATTATTTATTATTGATTGAAATTTCTGTTCTTCTCGGTCTGTAGTGGGACAATGTTTGTGACATTAGCCTTCGGGAGGTGGGATCCTGGGAAAGGCTGGCGCATAAATCTTTCAAGGTTTGGGATATATCAGCTGCTTCAATGCCATTGCAGGTATTCACCATCTTAACTTCCTAAGAGTACAATGCATAAAATCTTCATCCTTTATCAGTTTGATATTGACAGTGAATTTAATAATAGTGGGTAGTAACTCATACTTCTGTATTCACCTAGTACTTATGAACATTAAAATTTAGTATACTTGCTGGCTTGACTGGCAAACACTTTCATATTAACCGTGGCCAACAATTTAGGAATATAAACATGGACTGATTCTTGTCTCTTCATTAATTAACTTGTACTACCAGAGGCTTTGTTGAATGATGCTGCAATATTGATGAATCGGTGTGTTTGGGGGCCAGATGGACTTATGCTTAGTATGTATATGCATTCTTCGCTTGTGAATATGAATCATATCCTTAGTTCATTATATTTATCTTTTCTCTTAATAAAATTATGCTTTGTCTAGGTGTTGTATTTTCGAAACATATAGTTCTGATATATACTTACAATCCAACCAGAGAACTAAGACAACACTTAGAGGTAAATTATGTATCCTAAATATCAGTTCTTCCTTAAAAATGGCTAGGTAAAGTTTATTGATCGCTTGTCTCTTTTTTTTCAGATCGATGCCCATGTTGGTGGAGTTAATGACATTGCTTTTGTTCATCCCAACAAGCAACTGTGTATCGTTACATGTGGAGATGATAAGACTCTTAAGGGTATCATCTTAAAAGGGTGTGACCTGCTTCTCAAGGGAAAACATAATTGATATATCATTGCTGTAACTTTCTCCCTATTAATGAGTTTGACTTGTTGGGATACTTAAGAGTAAGTTTCTTTCGTGACAGGTATGGGATGCTGTAGCTGGATGCAGGCAGTATACGTTTGAAGGCCATGAAGCTCCTCTATATTCAGTCTGCCCTCACCACAAAGAAAATATTTGGGTCAAAATTTATTTAACTCATTTATGTTGTGATTGGTGATCTGAGTCAGCATCTTTTTCTATATGCTAACTAGCTGATAGGAACAAGATGTGTACCATCACTTTGAATCTCATATTATCCATCTTCCTATCTTGAAATGTGTAGTTTATTTTCTCTACTGCCATTGATGGAAGGATAAAAGCTTGGCGATATGATTGCTTGGGATCTAGAGTAGACTATGACAATCCTGGACACTGGTGCACCATGATGGCATATGGTGCAGATGGAACCAGGTAAAGCTTTGTTAATTTTAAGATAGACACAGGCTAATATAATTTGGTGATTTTTCATATTTTTTGTGCACACGATACTTTATATAATGACTCATTGAAGTTTTTGATAATATTTCTTGTACAGAGGATGTATATCAGTTTGGTGACAAGGATCCTTAGTTGCTGGACTTTTTAGCACTTCTTTGCCTTTGATGTACCATTATTTTGTAACCGTTCTTACATCATCTAAATGGAAAGAGACTTCTATATTTTTTGTTGCAGGCTCTTCTCATGCGGAACAAGTAAAGAAGGCAAATCTCATTTAGTTGAGTGGAATGAGAGTGAAGGAGCTATCAAAAGGATATATTCTGGTTTCAGAAAGCACTCTTTAGGTGTTGTCTAGATTGATACAACACGGAATTGGTTCTTGGCTGCTGGTGATGAATTTCAAATTAAATTCTGGGACAATACAAAAATGTTGACAACTGTTGATGCGGAAGGTGGGTTGCCAGTTGCCGGTTTGTAGTCATACTGTTTACTTTTACACCAATGGTATTTAACAGTAGATGCGTAGCAGTTGCTCATTCAAATCTATTCTTTGCAGGTTAGTCTTAGACTGAGATTCGGTAGGGAAGGATCTCTGCTCGCAGTTACGAGTAACAATGGTATCAATTTTTAATATTGTTCCTTTGCAGCAACTATTTCACATCAATTTTCTTTGCAGCTCATGTTCCTTCTTTTCTGTCAAGTCAGATGATTAAAAGGCCATCTTTCATCTTTTTCATTTTCAGTAATCAAGTTCTAATTCTTTTTCACTTTTTTAATTCGTTTAATTCATTCTTTTTAAGTTAAGAAAGTTACTTTTTTCATGACTAGGACAAATTTCTTGAGCTCGATCACATAATAACCTTATAACATATTAATTATTTGAATTTAAGTCTTATAATCAACAAAAATTAAAAAAAAAAAAACAAAAAAAAAAAAAAAAGGAATCTAATGTCCGGCAATTAAGGCCTTATTTGGGGGCTGCAAAGCGGCCAACGACTAGTCTACGTCTGTATACTTTTGATTATACTAGTTTAGATGGAAAACAACTAGAATCATGAATGGAAACTAGGTTTAGATATGTATACATACTTTTAACTATTGTTAATTTTACCTTCTAAAATATTGATTGATCTTCTTATTATGGTAAACAAAACATCTTAAGATGATACAAAATTTAAGCCAAATAACAACTACCCTAATGAATTCATGGCTAAGAGGAGAGATCATAGAGTTTCAAATTATCCCCTAAAATAGATAATTCGAACCAAATCTGCAATAAATAGAGAACTTCCAGTAGCATTAAACTTTCATAACTCTTGAATCTCAGGCTTCAGGATCCTATGAAAGAGTACTTAAAACTATCAAGCACAACATAAATGAACTCCAATAAGATTCTCACGCCCAGATTGCTAAAGGTTGAACCGATTTGAAAAAGGGCATCATAAAAGCATCACACAGATAATATCTCTGTAAGAACTTGGATATTAAAAAGAAAATTAAATCTTATATACAAGAGGTCTGTAAATTATTTTGTCCAATGTTTTCCATTTCCTCAATTCTTATGCTTCCAAAACACCATTAAAAATCCTCAATTTAGGAAACAAGTCTGAATCCAACAAAGACTACATATGGATAACTAAACCGATAAATATGTTATTGCTTTCAGATTAAGGCAAAAAAACAAACCATTAAACGATGCAACTAAAAAGTGCTTGGTGTTCTTTTCTCATATATATACAGGGAACATAATAATATGGATAAGACTACCAAGAAAAGATGAGAGCCACTTGGTAGAATGGGCTCGAATTTAAATTGTAACATCCCTTATGTGATATAGAGAACTTCACGGTAATTCTTTCTACCAAATATAGAGAACTTTTTTCCCACACCAAAACAAAACTTTATCCTTTCAATCCATGCATCACCTGATCCAATCATTCTTCTCCTCATCAAGCTTAAAAATGCTCAAACGAACTCAACAACATTGATTATTAGAATTCGCTAAAAACCTATTTTACTAGTGCACATATACCAAATATCCATCTTAAGCTTAAAAAATATAATTTATTTTGCCATGGTAGTTCTTATAACATATATCTACTCCATCTCATCCCAACACTCAACAATTGCAATTTAAATTCAGGTTAACCTAGTTCATCACGAACTCGTTCACTGTTTCCATCTTTTCTAAGATCGCCATAATTGACATCCTTTAAAGGTTAAATAAGTTTACAAAGGAGGAAATAGAAACTCTAACTTAATACACATAATCTTCGCATTATGAGAAATGTGAACCATACTTGACACCGAATCATTTAATAAGATGTCTAGTTTGTCACACTGACAGTAAAGTATCTTCAAGTAGCTAACTTGCAAATATCAGGTTCTTAGGTGAATCATGTACAAGAAGACAAAAGAAAGCGAGAAATAACATCTTAAGATCATGCAAGATTTGAGTCGAATTAGACAAATCAAACAATGAAAACAAAAACACTACCCTAATGATCATAAATACTTCTAATAGGAGTAAACTTCCATGTCTCTCTTGAATCTCATACTTGAACTATCAAGCACAACTATATCCAATACAAAATCTTGGGCATACAAAAGTGAAAGATAAAATATGTGCTAAAACCAAAATTAGATTTGGACATGCTTCTTCAATAAGATGTTGGAAGTCCTCGCATGGATGCAAAAAAGCTCTCCAATCAGCTAAACTGTAATAATCAGAATAAAAAACAAGGCAGTTTCCAGAGAAAGAGAACGAAAAGTTCTAATAAACATAACTCGTCACAGTATTGAAAAATCTCTAAGGCAAATCAGACAGTTAAGCCTATCCAATAAGTTAATGTCAAAACAAATTCATAACTCCATTGTCTTTGTCACAATTTAGTTTCAATAATATCAACAAAGTTCCTTGGTTTTAGGGGCACTGCAATACATTACAAATCTAGTACCAAGAGTTTGATGTAAACTATTATATTTGAATTATTCTGAAAAGGCTTCATTTTAATGAAACGTTGATAATGTAGGAAATTCAAGCATCAATCAACTAAACACAAGGGAAAACCAAAATATAACTTCAAATTTGAAAAAGAAGATCGCGAAAGATCCAAAAACAATCAACTCAACGTATTAAAGCTATGGCAAACTTAAGAATCTTCCACCAGGCAAAACATAATCAGTGATTAGATACAAAAAAGTTCATTTTGGTCCCCGAGGTTTAGCCTAAGGTCCAGTAGGATCTTCGTTCAACAACAAAGCCTATATTCCCACCTTATATTCCCACCTTTTCAGATAAACCCACCGTTAGATCCCATTTTGTACACCATGGAGAAGAAGACAAACCAATGTAGAAGCAAAATGAATCCCAGTGTTAATGTATTAATTGAATTTACTTATAAGGTAAGTTCAGACTTTAGGAAGAATATATTTGGTATAAGTGACAATTAATTTATGAATTCAGTATATCACATGAATCAGAATTTAACAAACAGAAATATTCTGCCGCTCAGTTAACCAAGCCTATTAAAACAACCAATTATGAGAATCATTAGTACCATAACTTCTCTCCACCACCACTTGGTCTTCAATTAACACCATGTGGTAAATCAATCACCATAGTTTGACCGTAAATAAAGCAGGCTATTGGGGAGTGAATATCCGGTTTTCGTGTTGACAGAATCAGTTACAAATTGATTGAATAACGGTTTAGCTCTAGCTGTAATGCAGAACAACAATATAGCAAATGCTGTTTAGTTATAAGTTTAAAATGTTTCCATTTCAAGCATGGTGCCATTTTTTCCTTTGCAGAGTTCAAAATGTTGCCTATACTGGAATAGGAAATCCTTATGCAGACATGCCAAGCCTTCTCAGACCTTTGATTATTCAATTCTCATAATATAGTCCAAAATTAATATTGATATTCAGGATAGTTATGGCATTCTTTTTTCTTAACATTGATATAACAACTAAACATCCATAAACTATATACAAAATCCTTGCATGCTCAAAACACCATTTAAATCGGTTAAAAAAAAAAAAAAAAAAAAAAGATTGTACCAAAAGAGATTTTAGATTTGTACAAGCTTCTCCAGTAAGATGTTGAACTCTTCAAATTGATGCTTTTTTCAGCTCAAAGTATTGAAGCTAATGCAAACTTATTAAGAATCTTCCACAAGGCACAACATAATTGAACAGATATAAGAAAGTTCTTGCGCAATATTATGCATAATTAAATCACAGATAAAGGGCAAGCACTGGAATGCTGATTATATTAAGTGTGAAGATGGGTAGTGTTCTGCAAATGAAGAAGGTAGGAACAAGAGAAAGCAAATGACTTGTATTTTACCTACATTAACTATAAGAAAGGAAAATTCCAGTAGTTGGCTTTCCAGATTTGGGGCAAATTTTAAAATTTATTTTCAAGGATTTGTGTCTGCTAATTTATCATTAAATTTATTATAAAAAAAGGGGAAAAAAAAAAAAGAGGAAGAAGAAGAAGAAGCACCTGTGATAATGAATTTGAGAGAAAAGAGATTATGAAATTCAGAACTATACCCTAATATATGATTCGAAACTACATAACTCTTGAACTTGAGAATACTTTTACTATCCAACACAACATAAATGGAATATAACCAATAAGATTCTCTTGCACAAATGGCTAAAGATTTAAATTGTAAAGAAAAATGAGCATCATAGAGGTAATTATGCAGCGAGTAGAGACAATAAGGACAGAGCAAATTAATTCTAAACCGACTTACAAACAAGCAACAATGAATAAAATTCTTATAAGCACTTGCACATTGAAAAAGAATATTCAAGTTTATTCACAAGCGGCCAGTATATTCTTTTGTACAATCAAAGATTCCCTTACTAACAATATCATGTAGCATTTATTCTGGATACAACACAATTAAATGATAATTAGAACCTCAAACAACCTATGAGGGGAAAAAAGGCTTACATCCAGGGAAGAGCCAAGGTGATGGAGGCCATAAAATCACAGAATAGCAACGAAAAGATAAGAGCAACTCAGTAGTACCATCCTCCAAGTTAAAAATCACTGCATACTTCTCCGCACAACCACTTGGTCTTCAATTAACACCATGATGGCAAATCGATCATCATCAATAGAGACAACCACGGTTTGAGAACAATAACTCCCCAGATCTGCTGAGTTCCCTTTTGCTGTCTTTAGCTAATTCAAGTATGAACTTATCATTATTTAATTCCTTATCCTTATAAAGACGGGGACTTCATCAGAGTCACTTTGATGAGTATTGAAGGTTTCACGAGGGTTTGACTGTAAACTGAGAGCTCAGTATGGATTGAAGTTGGTGAGTTGTTGACACCATTGCCAAAGGGGGGTTTGAATGATTTTCAAGGACAAGGATATTATCATAGGAGTCGGACTCTACCGAGTATTGGACAAAAATACGAGTAGGGCAATGAGAGTAGACTCATGTTGTCCCTTTAAAGGCGCACATAATAGCAAATTCATCGAAGATTGAACAACGTTAAGCTCACTGCCCTGTCCATGAAAAGCCTTCAGTATTATCGTGAAACAGAGTATATTCTATGAAAATTTAGGTAATTAATTATACTATTTAATTACAAGAATCTTTTCCTTGATTCTTCGTGTTGGCTAGAATACATTATAAGTAGAGAACATTATGAATGACATACAGCAAATCTAGGGAGGAAACAATCTTACCTTGTAGTGGAGAAAAATAATATGAT